ATCTTTATTTTGGGAGTTCTGCACGGATTCTAATATTTTTAATTTATATACGAATTTTAATTTATATACGAATTTTAATTTATTTACGAATTTTAATTTATTTACGAATTTTATATGTGCAATGGTTTCCAAACTTTGAAATTGCATTATATGCCAACAAAATTTGAGAATATCACCAACAATTTTAGAATTAAAAAATACTACTTTCACAATTTAAATTTTTTTTACATTTTATTCTATACTTTCTTCCATAAACAAAGTTTTTACTACTTTAAATTAGTAATTGTTATAATTTAAACTATTTAAAAACAAAATATTAGTGCTAGGGAAGTTTGTTGCAGAAAGCACAAAAAAAAATCTGCCACAGGGGTAATAACTGAACAAACAAGATAAATAAATAAAAAAAATTATTTAACATAAGATTGAAAAAGAAAAATTTTACTACGTCAACACCTTTGTTCTAAACTAGTAGCATAAATTGAATCTAAAGAATATAAAATTATGAGTGATATAACTAAGACAAGAAAGGAAATTTACTTTTTGTCACTATGTGAAACATCAAAACTTTCACTTATACTTTACATGATCATGATATAATAACTAGTTTTGGACAAAGAACTCTCTTTTTTTAAAATTATATTAGCCACCATAAAAAAGATCAAGAGATTTTTCAGTTCAATTTCAGAGGGTGGAAAATGAAATATGAAATTGAGAATATCTAGCAAAATGCAGCAGAGTTGCACATGAGAGTGTAAGAATCTCATCGAATCCAGTTCAGCAGAAATATTTAATCAAATATGTATCATGATTAGCGCTATCATATGTTACAGACCGACGGTATGGCGAAATGGATTGCGGTTGAATGAATTGTGAAAACGTTGAATAGAATAATGTGAAAACCACCTGTTTGCATAATACAGAGCAAATATCGACATGGTAAAGAAAAAAAAAATTCTCATTTTTGAAAAGTGAAAATAAGCAAAAACACCCCCATGAAAAAAAGCCCCTTTAAGGGCATTTAAAAAACGAAAATAAGCACCTTTTAATAATGCTATGCACCATGAAGAAGAAAAAGAAAAATAACTAACACCAATAGCCCATGACAGAAGATCATTAGTTGTACTCTGTGCTTGACTATGGTTCAGTGACGTGGACAAAGGAAAAAAATATTTTTTAAAAATACATTACTTCTTTAGTTTGTTCAGATGCCTTCATTAGATTATCCATACAATGTTGAATGAATTCTTCTTGTCTTTCAAGTGTCCCATGATGAACTGTGGAAGAATTTAAATTTATTTAGCAATTAAAATTGCATAAAAATAAGTAATATAAAAAAAAAAGTTTTTTGAAGTCAATTCCTACTTCAACAAAGAAAACAAAGTACAACCGCCTTATGACAAAATTGGTTTTGTCATACGAGGGGTTAACACCATAGTTACGTCGAAAGTTTCTTTGTACGGTAACTAAAGACTTCGTTTCTATGAGCCAAATAACACATTGAACCTTTTGTTGCGGAGGCGCCATAATTTCAAATTTTGAGACGTCATTTCAAGGTCAACACCCAGCAGCGCCGCCAACAGTTGATACAAACATTCCCAACTGGTATGAGTAAAACTTTTTGAGCTACTCTTTTCAGAGATATCGACTAAATTTTGCTATCTTTTATAGTTAGTGAGATATGAATTTTTAAAACCCCGGAGTTCTTTTATAGACACCCGTTATTTTATTAAGCAATTGGAAATTTGAACAAGATATATAAATATGTACAGGGAGAGTGCAAACTAATAATAGGTTTTGGAAAGAAAAAAACACAACTATAAAAGTATAAATTTGGCATCGTGAACCACATGTGCTACCACGTAATGTTCTTTATTGAATTTATCCGACACAGCGAATATAAAATAATTAAGGGTGGGCAATAAACTATCTTTTTTGTTCAAATAGAGCTGTAAGTTAGAAATTATTACCGATGTTATCTTTAAAATATGTGAAAAACTGAATTGCTTATAGTAAAATTTAAAACAATGACTAAGGTTTAACTAAAGAGAAAATACCATTTTGTTTTTTGCTCATCCCTATTTAATGAATGAATCAATATTTGAAAAAACTGCATTAACATCAAGTGTCCTCCACTACATGTTCAAAAGAAATAGAATTGTTTGAACAAGATATGTGTAGGGAGATTGTGAACTAATAGTAGGAATTAAAAAAAGAAAATTATTCCTACAAAAATTACCATTAATGTAATAGTTCTTCAGATATTGGATAGCTGCCATACTCACATCAGTATTCAATGCACGGAGAGCGATTCCCCACAGCTGTTGCATTCTGTTCATTAAAAAACAGAGTAAAGAAAGAGTTGAAGATAATTTTTTCTTCTTTTTTTCTGCAGAATTATAATCTAAAGATACTTTTTTATGTTCATCGGAAAGAAAAGAAATACTCCTGATTTTTCTGTTCTCATTTCAGAATATAAAAAAATTTGCCAATGACTGGTTTGCTTCAACAAAATTTTTTATTGATAAAACAAAAATAAATAAATAATAATAATTCTGAAATCGCAGAAGTTTAAAAGATACTTGCTTCACTCTAAAAACGATGTTTTTTCTTTAATTTTGTGAAAGAACACCATAATTTTCAAAGAACATGATAAAAATATTTTATATTTTAACAAAATATGACCCTGAGTGAGGATTTTGTTACAAATTCAGAACATCATGAAATTGGGGGGGGGGGATTCCATTTTAAAAATAAAATTCTTCAGTGACCTAAATCCATGACTTTCCATGATTTTTTGATTTTTTTTAAAAAAAAATAGCCATAATCATGACAAATTTTGTTCAATACCGAAATTCATGACTTTCCAGGGGCACAAATATCCTGTATGTAACATATTTTTTTTTTAAAAAAAAGATTTATAATTAAATTACCTACCAACGAAGAATGCTAAACTTTTATAGTAATTAATTTAAGAAAAATCTTACTTTTTACAAGAATCTGGACGTTGGATTTTTAAAATTGTGTAAATAAGAACCAGAATATTGGATTTTAATATCGTGTGAAAATGAATAGCAAATTAATTTAAAAAAAGTGTAAAAAACAAGTTGTGAAATTGTATTTTAAAAACACGTAAATACGAATCGCAATGTGTAGCTTTTAAATAACGTAAAAATACAAAAATCAATAATTGATATAACAAGCGTGTGAATACAAATCGAAATATGAAATTTCAAAAACATGTGAATACAAATAGCAAAAAAAAATTTTACGAAATTCGTAAATACAAATTGTGACATTTGATTTTTTAGATATTGGATTAATTCTGCGTAATAAATTATTGGATTAATTCTGCATTAAAATTTTTTTTGAACCAGCATAAAAGTGCTTTTGTATTAACCTCGTGATATTTAACTGTAAAAGTAAATTTATAAAATATTTAAACGCAAGCTCAATTATGATGTAATTGTATTTCTTGTAAATATCAAATTTTGAAATATGGTTTCAATAATATGAGCTCATTTCAAAAATTTTCATATAGTGGGACAATTTTTTCACCAAGAAATTTTAGTTGTCAAAAGTTGCTATTAGTTTAAATAAAATATCTAAAATACGGAATTTCCTAAACTCTAGAGAAATCATGATTTCTGAGATAATACAGCAATACTTTCGAGTTTAGATGTTTTTGTAAGTGAAATATGTGATAATATCAGAATATAATTACATCAGCGGCAGAAGATGGAGTGTCATAGGAAGCGGTTGCTAAATGTGCTAGACTACTAAGTTGTTGCAAAAGATTTAAAGCCATCATGCTAGTAGACTCAGGTGGCAACTGAGGCATCTTGAAAACAAAAAGAAAGTGTCTTAATACATTCATATTTACAGTTTGTTTACTTTTCAAAAATATACATCACCAATAAAATAAACATGATAAATTTTATTCATCATTTACAGCAGGGTTAGCAAATCCCAAATCAAATAAAACTGAACTTTCATTATTTAAATTTAGATTCTCTTCAGAAATTTTCTTTTCGTACACAAATCAAAGCTTTGATGAAACACGTCGATAAAGCTTCATATTATTTAAAAAAATAATAGAATTACTACAGACTAGACACTGAAGAAATAAAATTTTAGCAGCTATATTCAAGATTAATACTTTAAATTAATTTGTAAAGGCTAAGACCAAATTTGTCAGTTGGATATCATAGACAATATTTTAAACAGAAAAATCAGTCGCGAAAACGTCTTCAAATAACTCAAGGAGGACATCTCTTAAATCTGATCCCAATAGAAACCAGTCAAATGTTTGGTTCTTTAATGTTAATTTCACTTTTTGCATATGTCTTAAGAACTATTTTAGAAAATAAAACAAAATTGCACGAAACTCGTTTATCTAAAGAGTTTCATACAGATCATAATTTTGTGAAATTATTTCTTGTTCTATTATTTATTATTTAGTTGCATCAGAAATTATTAAAGTATTTTTTTGAACTTGGTGCACTGTACTTAATAAGAAGTTTTGCATACAAAATCACGCATTGACTGATGCTTCTTTTTTTAAAGATTACATAAATTATATTTACATAATGAAGAATCTAATATAAAAATATACATAAAATAAAACATACCATCAGCTGAGATCTAGATTTTACTAATGGTCTTCCTTCAGCCTTTTTTCCCAGATCAAACTAAAAACAACACAAGTTTCAGCAACATAAGTTTCAGAAAATCAAACAGAAAATTATTTCTATTGAAGTTGTTAGAAAATAAAATATTTGAACTTATGCTCTTAAACAGAAAAAAAATATTAACATGAAAATTTTTTAAACCAAAATCTGCATAGTCAAAAATTAGAAAATTTTACAGTTTTAAACATTTCACTTTCACATAGGATAATGAAATGTTTATAATAGACCATGATGAGAGATTTTAAAAAATCAAGTGAATATGATTTTTAAATCACATCCAATTTGAGATTTATTTATTCCTTTAAATACAAAGCACAAATTTTGATATTTAAATCCTGTGATATAAATCACGTCGTGGGATGTTGTGATTAAAAATGGACTTTCAAATCTAATGAAATCTGATCATGTTCTGTGATTCTTTAATTTACACGACTGCGGATCGCATGTGATTTTTAAATCACCCGAACATTGATCATACCAATATGGATTATAACGGATAATTTTTTAAAAACATGCTAATGTGTTTCATGATTAACAATTTTTAAATTGCACAAATGGATCTTATTGTAGGATACGGATCGCATTTTGTGATTTTAAATTCAAGTGAATTCAAATCATGATATGCAATTTTTAAATCGCACAAAGATAGATGTGATGCGTGATTTTTTAAAAACCACTTGAATGCAGATCGCCATGAGTCATTCTTTAAATCGGACAAATATAAATCACGATGTCAATTATGTATCATAATTTAAACTTAATGCGGTCACCTAATAAAATATGTGCTATTCCTATATTTGAGTCCTTTAGCGAACAATTAAGACACATGCAAATAATAAATTTTATTTAATTCCATGCAAAGAAAACATAAGTAACGACTCCCGGGGCAGAATTGCGGCGACATTGTTGCACAATGTTACAGATTTTTGCAGAAAGATTTTTCCTTTGAGAAGGGAAAATGTTCGGTTTTTCTTCTTTTTCTACAGAATTTCTTTCAAAGATGTTTTTCTTTTGCATCAGAGAGGAAAGAAATAATCATGATTTTTCTATTCTCATTTGAGATTTAAAAAAAAAAAAAAAAAAAAAAAAANAAAAAAAATAAAAAAAAAAAATTGGTAACTGGCTTTAGCTGAAATTTCAAATTAATAATGTAAAATAAAAATTCAGAAATCACGAAAGTTTAAAAGATAGTTCCATCTAGAAATGATGTTCTTCTATTTTTTTTTCTTTTAAAGAGCAACCATATTTTACTTACACTTATTTGGGTATGTCTTTCTTAAAGAGTCTTATTTAAGTCATCTTTAT